TACATAGTAGTCAAAACATTGTTTAAATATTGAAGCTATGTTTGTTTACGACCACAATTATACACCAAAACTATATTAAAATGTTGCAACATCATGGTAATTTTAAATTAATACCAAATTTCTAACTCTTATTTCTCATTTTTACATCTGTATTTAAACCCATGTATTACATTGACTAAACCTACTCAATAAAGCCTTTTCTAACAATTTGATGTATGTATGGTAGCATGTTAGACCATACAGACACAGTTTGACTGTACTACCACCTACTGTTCTAGTTGTCTTCCTACACTCTGTGAAAGATAATAGTGTGTCATGTCCTGTTAGCTGCACATGTGCAGTATGACTTCCAGGTTTTATGTTTCTGTATCTGCTCTGTTTTCCTGACAACACACAACATGTTTTTTCCCACAGTACCTTGAGTCAGTCCATCCTCTGCTGGACAGTGAACAGTACAAGCAAATGGAGATTTTGTCCAATGACTTTAAAGAGTCCAAAGCAGCCCACCTGCAGAGATACCTAATCCTAAAATCCTGGTGGGCAACAAATTATGTGAGTATTATTTACAAGTGATACAACATTGGAATTCAAACTGAACTGAATCACAGTGTTATACAATAATAATGTGTTATATTCTCTAGGTAAGTGACTGGTGGGAAGAGTACATCTACCTCAGGGGCAGGGGTCCTATCATGGTGAACAGTAACTTCTATATAATGGTAAGATATACTGTCACTAGATCAGCTTCACCTTTTTAAATGCCAGTATGCTCTTCTCTCTCTCTATTTGTGTTGACTTGATATGTCTGCTCTGTCTGTGTGGTGAATGTAAAGGACCTCTTGTACATGACCCCCACACACCGACAGGCTGCACGGGCAGGGAATGTGGTCCATGCGATGCTGCAGTACAGACGCAAACTGGAACGTGGTGAACATGCTCCGGTAGTACTTAACATCTCTTTACTACCACTCTTCTAAAACCCTAATCACCCAGTCAACTGCTACCCTCTATCTTCTCTCTAGCCCCAGTATAAAATGTAACCTTTCCGCTTCTTTAAATCTATTCACTTTCCTCCCCAACAAGGTAAAACTTAATGATGATTTAATTTTGTTTTTTTCTATTTAGTTGAGGGCTTTGGGGACAGTTCCTATGTGTTCCACTCAGATGGAGAGGATGTTCAACACCACCCGCATACCTGGAATTGAGACAGGTAGGAAACAGCTTGTACATTTTAGAATCAATCAACACTCAAATGCATGGGGCAGACAGCTCCTCGGTTGAAACTTGATTTCACGGCACATATATAACATAGATAACATTTTTTGATAATTATTTCTTATCCTTAATTAATTAAATGGTAAATACGTGCTTTGATGTCACTAACTGAGGTATGCCAAGAGTTGCAAATGACTTTTAGTTTACCCTCTAACAACTGTACTGCAGGTGCTCAGGATTAGGTATGTGGGCCAAGGGGGGAGCATTCATCCATCCGTTTAAAGAAAGGGGTTCTGCTGGTTCCTAAGTGATCATACTTATAATAATATGCTTCATTTGATCTTTAAGATTAACTATCTGTACCTTACCTTTTATTTCACCCTTTGTCTTCCTTCTCTTGTTGGGCCTTCCCTGCAGACATTGTGCAGCACCTGACCGACCGTAAGCACCTGGTTGTATACCACAAGGGCCGCTTCTTCCAAGTGTGGCTGTACACTGGAGGGCGTCACCTCTTGCCCAGTGAACTTGAGACACAGTTTCAAAGGATCCTCAATGATACATCAGAACCCCAGCCAGGAGAACTCAAATTAGCTGCCCTGACTGCAGGAAAAAGGTATGCAACCACCCTCACACGCACAGGACACATACTGTATGCATACACATGAAAAAGAAGATGGAAAATTGTCTTATTCTGACATTCCCCTCATCTAGAGTTCCATGGGCTCGGGCTCGGATTAAATATTTCAGCCAGGGATCCAACAAAGTGTCCCTGGATTCCATTGAGTCAGCTGCCTTTTTCTTGACCCTAGATGACGAGCCACAGGGTTATGACCCTGCAATTACCCGTTCACTTGACAGTTACGCCAAGTCCCTACTTCATGGAAAATGTTACGACAGGTAGGCAGAAAAGTCAAGGAAAGGTCTCTGCTATTGGCTGCAGCACTGATTGGACTTTTAGTGGTTTGTTTAACTAAAAAATAACTTTTTTTTCTTTTTTCATAGGTGGTTTGACAAGTCTTTCACTTTGATCTCTTATCCAAATGGGAAAATGGGTGTAAATGCTGAACATTCTTGGGCTGATGCACCAATTGTAGGACACATGTGGGAGGTATAAAATGTGTACTGATATTGTATTTCAAAACATTGAGTCAGTGTTTGTGGATATTTTAATCTACCTTTTTCTGCCTGTGTAGTATGTCCTTGCAACAGACTGCTTCCATCTTGGCTATACAGAGGAGGGACACTGTAAAGGGGATGTGAACAAAGGCCTGCCTTATCCCACTCGACTGCAGTGGCAGATTCCCAAGGAGGTAAGGGAAAGCCTTACATCATTTACTGCTATTGACCTAATGGTATTTTAGCTGCGTTTCCATCACAAAATGAATCAAGATAATGTTCTTTCTCCCCCCCCCTTTTTTTAGTGCCAAGATGTCATTGGTACTTCATACCTATCAGCCAAGCAGATAGCTGATGATGTGGACTTCCATGGCTGTCTGTTTTCTGAGTTTGGGAAAGGACTGATCAAGAAGTGCAGGACAAGCCCAGATGCCTTTATTCAGCTGGCCCTGCAGCTGGCACAGTTCAGGGTAGGGCTGCCATCATCCGCCATCCTGTCTCTGGAATGACATTACTGACATTATAGCTCACTGTTGTCTTTTCAGTGTTTAATTGTACCATGCACCAACACTAAATGACTTAAGTTCGTCTGCTTTATAGGACCAGGGAGCGTTCTGTCTGACATACGAGTCATCGATGACTCGTATGTTCAGAGATGGTCGGACAGAGACAGTACGCTCCTGCACTTCTGAGGCTGTTGCATTCGTCAGAGCCATGGAGGATCCAAGTGCAACAGTAAGAAGAACACAACACAGAAACACTTCAAATAAATCAGGAAACCATAACGTGAAACCACAGAGGTCTTTCAAATTAGGTTCTGTGGGTTTGAACAACAGTAAATATGCATTTGTAGTACTAAATTCACTGGCATGTCCAGCAGGGTTAAAGACATTAAACACTTCACTGGAATAAAAAAATCTAATATTTTGCAGATGTCAAATGTGTGTGTTATAAGTGTCATGGTACAAAAGGTCACATTTTGAGAGGGCACACTGTAATAGGTCACAATGTGCTGGCTAGGACTTGGTCACCAAGACCTAGAGGCAATGGGTTTCTGCATGTCAGCGCCCTGGACTCTGAACTGCCTGATGTTCTGACAGTTTAAACTGACACTCAGGGTCATTTTGATATGTTGTTAATGTCATTTGTATGTGCCTGAATGCAATTTGTTGTCCTTATGTGATCAGAATGCCCAGAGACTTGCCATATTTCGGAAGGCAGCAGATAAGCATCAAAACATGTATCGTCTAGCCATGACTGGTTCTGGTATCGACCGTCACCTCTTCTGTCTCTACATTGTGTCCAAATACCTTGGTGTTGACTCGCCATTTCTTACGAAGGTCAGAACTATCATGATTTATTATCTCTCTTTCATTTTATTGGTGTCTGATTCACAATTTTCTATCTAATTATCTATTAAAACCTTTCTTATACATTCAATGTGTTTGCTTCTAGGTGCTTTCAGAGCCCTGGAAGTTGTCCACCAGCCAGACTCCACAGCAGCAGCTTAATTTAGTTGACATCAACAAGTTCCCTCAATATGTGGGTGCTGGTGGTGGATTTGGCCCAGTGAGTTAGAGTGACGCAGTCTTAACATTTCATCCTGTCCTGATCTGGGACAGTTTTGAACAATAATATATGAGTATGTCTTGTCTACCCCCAGGTTGCTGATGATGGTTATGGTGTGTCTTATATAATTGTTGGGGAAAATCTCATCACATTCCACATCTCAAGCAAGTTCTCCAGCCCTGACACAGTAAGAGCACAACATGAGTGCATATAGATTCATCTTTACATCATTTCAGTGCTAGCATTCAAAACTCAACACTCAACACTCACAGTTTCTCTCCCTCTCTCTCTCTCTCTCTGTTCTTTCTGTTATTGTCTTTTTCACGTCACCTGCAGGACTCATACCGGTTTGGTCAGCACATCTGGAAGGCCATGGTTGATATCCAAGCACTTTTCAAACCAGAGAATGACAAGAAGACAGTTGAGCATTCAAAGCATGTACACCTGGAAAATGGGAAAAAGCACATATAGGAGATGCTTTGGGGTGGTAGGCTGCATTTGGCTCTGTGTCAAAAGAACGTTCTGGTGATAGGTTGCACCTATAATCTTTTTGCTTTTCTGGTGGGTCACATTATAGGAGCTGGTCATTCCACTCTGTCAGACAAAAGAATAGTTGTTACTCCTCTAAATTATTTCTATTTATATCATTCTTTTCAGTTGTTTTGGTGCTGAGAGAATTATCTTTATTGGGAAGTTTTGGTTGTTACTCCATTATTGAAAGTCAGTTTATGCCATAGACTTTATATAAATCTAATGTAATGTAATAAATCAAAATATAATCTTTATATATGGTCTATGGTCTGTGCATATGGAAGTTGTAAATATATCTGCTTAAATAATTCAGAACTGTTTGAAAATATAAAACCTTTGTTACTTGCTATTATTTATTATTTTTTTGTCCATTTATTTCCATTAAATATCATTTTAGACTGATTACCTACAGCTCACCATCAGTAGCTTTTGTGAAATTAATCAAATGTAGACAGAATCATTAAATTAATTCATCATACTGGCAAATTTGCTAACAATTATTTTCCATCTTTTACACATTTTGCAGTAACACCTTTAATACATCTAAAAACAGACACAGAAAAACAATCTTATTATAAGAGAAGTTTATTTTAAGAGGTGTGGTGGAGGTCTTGTTCCTGATATTCAAATGAACATTTACAGAGGCCTTCCAGATCCATCCAGGCTATTGGTAAACAAAAATGATCTGAAATTAGATGGAAGCTTTGTAACAGTACATCAGTCTCAGCACATCTTATGGCAAAACTAAATGCACCATATCTCGAACAAAGGCAACAGGCTGACTGCCTGCTATTACAATGTTTAACAACCCAGACTGCTTTTTATAGTTGCACAATTTAGTGACCATGTAATGCAAACCCCATACATCATATCACCCTAAACATGATAACATATTGGGAATGCAGACAGTAGAAGGTTCATCTCCCGAGGGGTATGCAGATTTCTCCTCATCTATGACTTCAGGTTAATGCACAATGGAGTAGCATCAATTAACAACGTATAAATCTGCAGATCAATCTGCAGTTTTATGATGGCAAGTAGATAACGTCACATTTGATTTAGTTTATTCACATGAGTGCAGTTCCCAGATAGCGGGCAAAACAAACTTCTATTTGAATATTTATTAGTTTAGGTGGGGACAATACAAAAAGTCAAAGTAATAAAAAACAAACCTTTCTGGTCACACTTCTTTCTTTCAAGGCATCAGTTACAGCAATGAACTAAAACTAGGCTTTATAACTGTACAAAGTGAATGGACAAACAAAAACACCATCACACAGTCCACTTGCTTGATGAGAGCAATTTTAAAAGACCCAAAGAGGCAACAAAACCAGACTTCCTAAGATTCAAAATGAATCAACAGTATCAGATTATTGTCATCATCACTCTCTTATCAGAAGCTGCCTGCCAATCACACACATTTAACATAGAACCCAGAACAGAATACAACAGACACGAAAGGCAAATGGGTTTTAAGTATGCTCTATTTCTTAACCATTTTTATCATGGGGATACTGCAGGTTGAGTCCACTGGGTGATGACATGCCCCTTGGGCCACTGTGTGGGGCTGTTTTTCATGTAGATACACGCCAACCCAGTCTTTTCTGTGTACATACTATTTTGTGTATATATTTCAACACTCTAGGATGGTTTTGTAGTTTATGTGTTTAAAATCACTCAGCAGAGCTTTGGGGTTTCCGGTCTATGATGCAGCAAAGGAGGATTAAGAAGTTGCACCAGGAGTTGGGTTGACATTCTGCGTGGCTGCTTGTGGTGCCACCTCTATGATCCGCGGTTTGTCAATGATGCGAGCAGTGCGGTTTCCTTTCTCTACAATCCCGATGATCCACGCTTGGTGGCCCTCGCCGTATTTTGGGGATTTGATTTCGGCACAGAAGCGGGCGGCCTGCTCCCGCGGCAGACAGATAAGAAGGCCTCCTATTAAGAAAATGAGATTTGGTCAGTCACAAGGGTCTCAAATGTTTTTTTTAATGTGTAGTGATGCTGCTGAGAGCTCAGTTCTCTTACTGCTGATCTAACCAGCACAGATTTAAGTGCTGCTTTTCATTCTGATGCTGATCACATTATTGTTGGGCCCAGGTGGCATTAGATGGTGCTTCAGTCTCATCCCTAGAGACTTAATAACATCAAGCATTTCCTCCTTTCATTTGTTTCCACTTGGACATATTAGTATTTTTTCTCTCTCAGCATTGTAACACATACGATACTCAGTTGTGCCATTCCCTTAAACCAAACCAATTACACAAGTTGGCTGTCTTACAAAATGTTTTTTAAGGATTTGGTGGCCCAGAAAAAAAACCCCAAAACAAGTCCTAATTATCTGCATTATTATAGAGTCAATGGTACAAATCTTGCCATGTTATTCACACTCATCTGGTCCAAATTAGAGTCTCAGTTCATGCATAGTTATCATTGGAGAACCAGCAAGTCTCTTTTGTAAAACCAAGACCAAGGCTGACTAACTCTTGTTGTGGTCGACAGACAATGGAGAAGCCTTACATTAATGTTTTGTTATGGTCTACATTTTACCCTACAAACGGTGGCATTTACTGTAAATAAATGTTCATACAAAACATACAGTGGTTAGGGAAAAAACACTGAGCAATGTACGGTGTACACACACACACAGACACAGACACACACACACAGACACACACAGACACACACAGACACACACAGACACACACCTGATGTTTCAGGGCAGGTGCCGTGCATGAGTCCAAACATGTTCCCACAGGCCTTAGACACGGCGGCCATCTTGGCGAGCACTGGGAGGTTGTGGATGACAAATGACACCTCGCTCCGTTGTTGCCGTGCCAACGTCTGAGCGTGGCCAAGGATGCCGAACCCTGTGATGTCGGTGGCTGCATGAGCATTGAAGGTGTGCATGAGACCAGCCGCTACAAAGGAATAGACACACAGAGAGAGAGAGATAGAGAGAGAAACAGAATTAGAAGGGTATCTGAATGATTAATTGGTTCATTACGGATGCACACAATTCTGTTGTCATGAAGATTAGTCAGTGGTATGAACAAATATTGATTCACAAAGTAAGTCATTGTGACCCAAACATTGTGTGACATCTTGAAAGCCAATAAATAAATACTATAATGACAGATATTGTAATTCAAGCATGAAGTTCTTCATAGCTGAATCAACAGAACAATCTCATACAAGAAAAGGCAACTAAAACACTTCAATCACACGCGGACACAGGGAGTCACACAGAACACGTACTTCTGTGTATGTGTGCCAGTTATTTGTGATGACAATTTATTGTGTTGTATAAAGCTATAGTATGTAACTTATGTCTCACATGGAACATTATCTTTTAGTATTTAAATGTCACATTATTAGCAGAAGCTTGCCACAGATGGTACAATACAGCCTTGCTGCTGCAGAGGGTGCTGTAGTTTAAAAAATGTCTCCCATCCTCAATGTTTCTCTGCCCAACAGCTTATGTAGTCATGCTCAAGTTAACATCCTTATTTATTTAAAAAATAAATGACAATAATAATAATTTATAATAATAATTTTCAAACAGGTGTAAGGCAGTTATGATTCACAGTGGTTTTACCTGTTCTGTTGAGTCGAGCCATGTTCATCATGGCTTCATGGTAGGCCAGCTCTACATCTTCCTGGGTTACCACCAGCTTTATCTTGTTCCACTTCTCAGGCTGGGAGATAAAACAAACATATACCGTTGATAGCATTAGTGTGTATCCTCAGAAACAAGTCCACACAAAATTATTCATGAGTGAGTAGGTGGACTTACAATATCTAGCCACTGGTGTACTGCGACGGCCACTTGTGTTCCAAGTGGCTTGGTCAACACCAACACGTCTCCTGGCACTGCATTATCTGGCCTGGGAAATGTCAAACATGGCATCATTGGGATTTTTTGCATTAGAGCCAAACGATACATTTTTGAGGAAGATGTGTGTAGCACAAACAGCACAAGTAAAGAAATATGTAGTAGCAAGTCATTCCCACATGATAAATTCGTTGGGCTGGCAGACTGTTGTTGCAACTCCTCCCATCACCACCCAGGGGTTGAGCACAGTCTGTCCTCCTGTTACAGATGTGCCTGCCTCCTCTGATGCATCCTTGAATCCCTGGATGATCAGTGGCATGACTTTGTCTCTCTCCTGTAAAGACCCAGGAAATTCATAGCAGGGAGAGAGAGCACAACATATTAATAATAATAATAATAATAATAATAATAAAAAAAATCATCATCTTTCTTAACATTATTCATTTCCATAACTGTTGAATAACATGTTTTTAAATTGTGATTCTCAATGAGTGGTATTTAGTTTCTTCTACCATTAACACAATTGGTGCTGCGCAGTTATTTCCCAGACACAAAGATCCATCAGCAGACATGCCTCTTACCTTCTCTGACATTTTGTTGCTGACTCCCAGAAGCATCAACATGTTGTCACACTCTGTCACTCCCATTGCATACAGGTCACTTAGAACATTGGCACAAGCAATTCTTCCCTATAAAATACAAATACTGAAAATTAAGCACGTAATTGGTTGGTGTGTAAAGCAATAATACAGCTGAACAAAGAATTATAAGAGTGACACCCTTCCCATTTGTCACAATGTATAATTAACAGGAACACACTGGGGCAAAAAGGAAGGAAGGAAGGGGGAGATCCATACCATCATGTAGGGGTCATCTACAATAGGGTAGATGTAGTCTGTCGTCTGGACCAGAGAAAGGCCTCCATGTCTAAGGGGGATCACACAGGTGTCCATGCCTATGCCTTTAACAAAAAAAATGAAAGAGCTCTGTATGTGATATTTTGAAGCTGAATATTTGTGATATGGTATCATAGACACAAAATCTTAACTAAAAAAAAAGAGTTGTAGTTAGAGCTATTTATTAAGTCTTATTACTGTATACTTATTTGTTATTATAGTGCTACGTGAAGATCACCATTACCTAATCGGGGCATAACTGCCCCCAAGAACTGTTCATCCTCTTGATAGTGGTTCTCCTGTAGGGTTTCTAGCAGCTTCTGTAATACATCTTGAGGCACCTGTGACCGAAGACAACAACCACCATTTTCACACATGATATATTTCTTTTCTTACACTTTATTTATACAAAGACAATGATGCATCCAAGGGAGATTTTGATTTTGATAAGGAGAGCCCACCTTGCAGCCTGTGCCCTTGAGCTCAGCAAAGCGTGTGAGCCTGAAGTTCTTGTCCAGCTCATAGCTTTCGGGGTTAAAGGACTCCCTCACGGACATGTCTGAAGAAAGTCTGGGCCTTCACCACTAGAAGCACATCAGTGACCAGAAACAATGAAGCTGGTGATTAGAAACACTGTTTGGGTGTCACAAGGGGCAAGAAGACAATCTTGTTAATGGTATAAACTTAAAACACCTTAGTTCATTCACCAGACTCCAATGCAGTCTCAGATTATTCACAAATGTGCTCCTTATTATGCATCACTGCAAGTACACATGAGATTGAAAACCTTTAAAATGTCTTTGTGCAGCTTATATTACGTTTTTTAAGACTAAATTCAGTAGTCTATAAATAAATAGGGAAAATTACAAAAACGCTCTTGGTAATGCTCGCTAAGTGTTTCATATTTTCCTCTCATCAGTAATCAAAAACCTAAAATGTTCATCAGTTTACAATGATATAAAATGGAGGAAAGCAGCAAATCATCACAACTGAGAAGCTGGTAACAAGAATTGATTTAAACTACTAATCAATTAAGGAAATAGTCACAAATGAATGAATTAGACAGGTATTGGACTGCATTAGATTATCCAGATATATTTATAAATTAAGAACAAAACAATCAATCCAGGTGTATTTTGATTTTCATGCACAAGATTTATTAAATGCTGTCAGTTTAGTAAAAAAGGGATTCATGTGAATATGGGTTACTAGAGTCTGAAATGAACACTAATAACTTCTCTGTGCTCATCGATTCTTACAATAACCAATGAATGAGCCACGATAACATGGACCATTGTAAACACCTTGGCCACCTGTTACAGAACTGAGTCCAGTTGTTGGTTTGTTGTTTAAACTACCTGCAAGTTGCTGAAGGTGCCTCGGTTAGCGCTCCGTGGGAGTGTTCAAGACACAAAATGCTGCTAAGTTCATTCAACCCTTAGGCACTGGCTAACAATATTAGCACCGAGCAGAGGTAAACTGTCTCTTCAGGTGTAATGTAAGCCACATATTATAGAAATAAACTACCGGCCGCTCAAACTTTGAGACATATGCGTGGACAGTGACGGCTACATCGTTTCACAGTCATGTTTAATTCGCTGTAAATGCAGTTTTCGTTTTCACTGCTAGCTCTGGCTTGCGAACGCTGCTCCGTGCAATGGGGTTGATGAAGCATAAGCAGCTCCGTGCAACAAAGAGCGCAGGTTGTCCCCGAGTCTGAGAGCTTCTAATAACAGTACAAACACACCCTGTGCAGGCTGCAGCCTACGTGGGATGCACCTTTTGTTCAACATAGCGCCAGCTCGTTGCACATGTAAGTTGAAAAGTTGCCGTAGGAGCGCCGAACAAAAATGTCGGCGGCGGAAAAAATTAACCCTTTCCTGTCCCACGCCATGCGATGTGTGCAACATCAGAGTTCGTATGAACAGAAGAGCACCGAGCATGCCACTTGTGTGAAGTTTATAATGATATGGTGCAATACAAGTGTTTACAATTGCCCTAGATGCGATTTTAGGACCAAAGCGGAGTTATATTCTTGCAACATTTCCCCTTTAATTGCTCTGACCAGTTTATCCTTACCAGCTTCACGTTAGCGGTGGATCCCGACAGAAGAGCGGGGACGGCACCAGAATGCATTGGGGCCAGAATCGGGCGTCCTCCGAGAAAGCCTGACGAAAAGTGAGACACGTTTGTCTCCTAACTCGGAATGTGGGGGCAAAAAAATAACGCTACCCGGTATAATTAAACATATTTTAATGTGTATATGTATCCAACCACGACTCATCTTCGTGAATCAATATATGGTTTGCAATACAAAGAGGAAACTCACGAGATCTCAAAGGGTCCTCTGCCTGCACAGTGGCGGCTTTAACATCCCCTTTAATGAGCTGTGAAGTCTGGCAACAAATACTCTACAATGGAGTGTACCTTTAATTTACTGTTTTCCCTCCAATTGCACCTACAACAACATAACATGGCCTGGCTGCAAGTGTAGGTGCGGTGCTTTACAAAGGCTGGGCTTTATAAAGTTACATTTGTGAACTTTTGATAGAATTATGTTTAATGTTGCAGTAAATATTTTGTTACATTGGAGCAATAGTATGTTTAATACTATTTATGCCAGGAAGAAATCAGGGGATAAGAAGCTCATCTCTTTTAGTTTCTCCTTCATTTAAAAAAAAACAAAAAAAAAAAACTAGTATATAAAGAACAACACAAAAACAAAAATAGTCAAGAAACCTCATTTAATGGTGAAGACAACTATTAATTCCATATGCACAGTTAGCCAAAATTAAAGGAAAATGCCTGTAATTCCATCACAATATTAACAACAATAGCACTGATATGCATAGCCCAGAGATTCTAATAATTAAAGGAAACAACTATTCATAGAATACTGTAAATTTATAATATTTTCAGCCAGATGTAGACTAACAACCTATTTCTTAATAAGCAAAATTGGCCAAAAATACATTTACTTTTGGATGTAATGTTTTTTTAATTGAGGTGGATGCTGCGCTGCACATTACACCCACTGAAGTATTGGTCACTTAAAAGGCACAATCCACGATGGACAACTTCTCTTGAAAAGTAATTTGTGAAAAATATATGAATGTTATACCATTACATTACTTTGTCTCATTTTAAACGTCTCCTAGTAATGATATATGAGAACTAGGCAAGTAAAATTGTAGCCTGTCATGTAAACAGTAAGTCGCCCCTAAACATGGAAATGACATTTTTTTTAAAGTGTATAGTAATATCTATTGGCACAAAATCCCAGATCCCAGTATGTGTCCAGTGAAAAGTCTTAAGCACCACAAAAGGTGGAGTGTATGTGTGTCTGTGTCTGTGTGTGTGTGTGTGTGTGTGTGTGTGAGAGAGAGAGAGAGAGAGAGAGAGAGAGAGAGAGAGAGTGACTAAGCTTCTCCTTCATTTGGTCCTATTGTTTTTTTCCCTTTACACCCATAACTAAAGTGGCAAAATGCATCAAGTTAGAGGAATGAAGACAGTCAACAAATATGTAGTAAGGCCATTGTGGCAGCCCTTGAATCAGCCAGTCATATTAGCCCCTGTCCCCTTCACACTTGCAGGTTTGTTATAGTCACAACCTAAAAAAAAAAAAAAAAGACAAAAGAAATGTTAAAATTTAAAATATCATTAATAAAAAAGCCAAAAACACAACTGCATTCACACATTTGGTGGATTTTTATGGGTCTCATGGCCTACCTTGAACACCAAAAACTGACACAGCAGAAAGAGAAATGCTTTTGAGACAGTGAGAATGAAACAGAGAGGTGAAAGGGGGTATGGCGCATGGTGTGAAGATAATTAGCTGACATTTTGGGAAGCTGCGTGTGAATGTCAAATGTCACAGCGACAGCATGACAAAGACATATGAGCCAATGAGCGAGCCAGCAACACCAGTTTGTGTGTGTGTGTTGTGACAGTGAAGTGGTGAGAGGTAAAGACACTGTTGGCTCAGAGGGGGGCTGATGGAAAGATGTACTGATATAAAGGGAAAGGTACAGACACATAAAGATAAAACTATACATCTGAATAAATGATAATGTGTGTGTGTGTGTGTGTGTGTGTGTTGTTAGCTGCCAAAATGTGTGAAGATTTATATGAGGATCGTACTTGTGGAAGGTCCATTTAAGACTTCTTCTGCTTCTGCAGCATCTGAGGAGCCAAAGGAAGAAGGTTTATATCAGAAGGTCTAAACTTTGTAATTGACTTATAATAGTAAACTTACTACTGCATAATAAATTAATGTCCTTTGACCATTGATACAAACCATTTGCATAATAAAAACAGGAGGATATTAGATCAAACATAAGTATACAGTAGTAGTATAGTAGTATAAACAACTTCAATAAGATAAGGGAAATGGGGTAATAACTTGGTCTATATCAGTACCTCTTTTCAGCCTCCTCCTGGCAAGTTTGATCTGATCTTGAAGGATCTGAACCCAATCTCGTGGCCCGGGCAACTTCTCTATTCTGTGTTCAGTGCAGTATTTCTCTGTAAACACTGGACACAGTTCAAACATATATTAATGTTTGCCTGTGTGTCATTATTGTTCTACCCTGGCAGAAAGAGACCGGTTAAAACTTTCCCTCCTGTACCTTTAATGGCACCCACGATGTTTTGGTCCAAGCCCTTACGGTTATCATTCAGGCCCCTCTTCCTTTTTCCATTTGGTAAGGAGTTAGCCAGGGTAGCATCGTCAAAGAAGGCACACACCTAAACATATAGCAGCTTCGTGTTAAAGCTGAGCCCTTAGTGAATGTAGCTTACTATTAAGGTAAATTATTACATGTTAAACATGTGAACCAGCTCTTGAAAAACATATATATGCGCACCAGTTTCCTGAACAGCAGGCTGCCAGAGCGTGTATAGTTGACCAGAATGGAGTCTAGCTGAGCCTTTGAGATAAACACGTCATAATCCTCTGCAAGACGCACATCAGACTGAAAAAGAGTCAAAAACACAGTGTGACTGTTAAGTTTTACGGGATTTTAGTTTTTAGAAGGAAAAAGGAAAAAGAGAACAGAAACTTGTGAACATAAGTTATCGTTATGAGTTGAGCCTTATCTCATGATGTTGTAGACATTATAAAAAAAAGCATGAGGATGGTTGTGCAAAACTTAATATCTCATACTTTCTCTAAATCATTATTTGAGATCCCAAGAGTTCGGGGTCATGCTGAGCAACAAAGCACGTCACTTGGCAACAGCTTTTAATATATGCACATCAAACATGGTAAAGTAGAGGTGCCTAAAGCTAGAACATTTTGTATAACAGCAATCAAAACATTTTTCTTTGTTCTGTATATTCATCAAAAAAATCTGGAAGAAAATTAAGGCAGAATTATTTAGTTGGGTTATTTCAACTTGCACTTGCAAGTTCTATGATTTTTCCGAGGGACGTTATAGAGTTTATTTTCAATAAAGACAGTAAATACACATATTTAAAACCTATTCGGAATTAATTCATCAATAAATATACAGAGAAGCTACAGCTTGTAGCCAGAGCTATAAATTAAGCACAGAAAACACACACCAGTGTTCGTACATTACCTCTAGCAAGTGGGGTTTTCTTAGTTGGTTCAGGAGTGGATTGTGTGTGTTGTTGGCAGTTACTGGATTGCTCTGAGGTGGCAGCACAGAAACCCCAGAGGAGACGGGGTGAGTGTTTGGTGTAGACGAGTCTTGCTCTTTCTCACATTCTTCTCTCTTTTCAGATTCGGCAGGTGCAGCTATAAGTGGTGATGCCTCCAGAGGGGCAAGAGCAGCTCTTCTATTACTAGACACAGTGAGTGGTGCCACTTTATAGATTGGCCTCCTCTTGCGGGGCCTACAGCGAGGAGCGGGGCCTGGACCAAGACGAGGTTGGCATGGTGATGCTGCCTGTTCCTGTCTTTCTAAGGATGCTAGAAAAAGACAGTAACACATTATATTTTCTCTCTCTCTCTCTTTCTCACTTTCTCATACTGCGACTGTGTTTGTGTTCATCCACTGACCTTTTTGAGTCTGCATCAGCCTCCTCATGGCGCGCATTTCCTGCAAAATAGCCTGCAAGGTGCCCTTACAGTTACACATACAGCAGGGGGGTTCTGGCACATCAGGAGGGACTACATCTGCTGGAAAGGTGCGTTGGTTAGTGATTATCTACTCAAACCGGCATACTCACATGGGTGCAATGTCCTTTATTGCCATGTGTCTGACAACCAAGTGGGTATACATGTGCATGAGTGTTTGACTGTCTTGTATGGATAAACTTGCCAATGCCTAGTGTCTTTCTTACACACAAATACCTCTGTATAGTGTTTCCCCCTTGACAACAAAATGCTTGTCTTCTCTCATTCTATCATCATCATTCTTCTTTAGGAAATTAAAGTTGTGTCTGTTGCATTTCTCCACTTTGGTACCCTACCGTCATCATCATTCACTTTGATCAGATCCTTGGTATTGTTGAGGATCCTCATGGCTTTGGAGCGGGTGCTGTACTGGCCACAGCCTGGACCGTTGGGGATGGGGGTGGATATGGATGAAGGTGAAGGTCCTGGGTCCCCTGCAGAGTTCCAGCTGTTGCTGTGGTGGTCCTCTGATACAAGAGATAAAGGTGCAGGCTGATGTACCCAGGTCAGATGCCTACCCTGGGGCTCCTTTGTTAAGCTGTCCTGCTCTGTTCCCACACGCTGATATACCCTGCCGGTCTTCTCACTCAGAAGCCTCATCATTCCTGTGATTTGCCTCTTGATCTCCATGCCCTCATCCCCCACCCAAACTACAGCGGGAGAAAAGGGTGTCAGTATAATTAGTGAGATCTGCCATAATATATCATAGAAATGTATCCTTACACTAGCACGTACCATCAGGCACAGCAGCATCCTTAGGCTCTCCGTTGGCATCTTTACAGCTGGAATTTATCATATATGAAGGGTCAGAATCTGCAAGAACAGCAAGGTTTCGTTATGAAATAGTTACGGTAGCTGAAATTAAATCTTAATTCCCCAACAACAGCCTGTGTGATAGATAGTTGCAATCGTATGCGTGTAACATGATGATTATGCACGCTGATAAGGATTGTGATGTCAATCTAAGCAGACCCCCCTCCAGCCCCCCTCCCATCCCATGCAGAAACCACCACCTGTAGGTAGTATGAAGTAGTGTAGTCAAGAGAGGTGGCCTAGAGCGTATAGCTTCAGCAAAAAGTGAACAATTTAAGCAGCATGTTGTATGTTCAGAATGCTCACCATGTTTTTTATAATTTGGACTATTCATCTACTTAATTCATTCTTGAATCAATCTTGAAAACTGATGTCCCGGAAGATTTTTACATGCAAGACTCGAATCAATAGAAATAGCTGTTGGTTGAACCAAGGCACAGACTATGGGCATTGTCGTGGCCATCGCTTTTGTTTACAGAGTCGTCTCTGCTGGCACACAGCGCCAGACAAACACCCAGACACAGACGCGCGTCTTGTAAGGTCTTGCATTCATTCAGCAGCCTACCTTCATCCGTGACCAGTTTAAAGCTCTGTGACTTCCTTCTCCTCTTCCTTTCCCCAAACTCCATCTTCAGGGGGGATATAGTCTACAGTAAGTCGTGCAGTCGAAAATCGCTCCTCAGAAAGACGAAATCAGTGACTAGGATACACTCAGCGGAATCACTGTCCGTCCGCCTTATTAATCAGTTAAATTTCTCCTCAGACTGCGCTACAGATTCCTGTCATCGGCAGATTTTCACCGTGTAGAGCTTAAATTGACTTGATAAATGCTATAAATGCTATTGTATGGCATCCCCGTTCCCAGCATGATGCTGGTTCTTCCCTCCCGCCATGTAAATAAATTAATGACTTTAATATTAAAAATTCGTCACATATCCCTTTGCGCCACCTGATGGTATGTTCTCATCTAAAAGGTCGAGTCAGACATTTGCCACTAGCGTCCAGACAATGGACTGGGATTTGAGACCAGACTGCAAACATAAACTTTTTTCATGGATTCTCATGGATAATAATCATATGAAGACTGCTTTTAATGATTTCAATAATATCCGAGGGACTCATTTTCTAGATTAGAAAAAAAAACTTAAATGACTATCTCTAATGTCTGACTAGAGCAAGAAGCAGATGACTGAAACTCATTGGTGAGTGGGTTGTTCAGTTTTAATGTTACATTTATTAGAATAAAATATTATTTAGGCAGGCAGGACTCAGATTGTATGTATACCTCCGTAGACATCCATATCTATCTGAGGCTGGTGTAGTGCATCAAAGGATGAATTTTCTCTCCCTCCTGTCATGACCTCGCTTCAGGCAACTGTATAAATTCTGAGTCACTGGCAGAAAATAGGAGGTAGTATTGAGTCGCTTATGACAAGTGCAGGTCAATTCAGTTGGTGACACTTTTTCCATCGTTTCTTTCATTTTAAATCCCCGTTCTTGGTAGAATAGACTGACCCTCAGTCAGGGTATTTTGTGCCATTGTGAGAGGTCACCTGTCACACTTAAAACCTGATTGCACAGAGCTAATTATTGCATTAAAAGAAGCATCAGCTGTCTGATTATAATCTCATTTAGTCATTTTTATTTTAGAAAATGCAGCAAAATACAGCAACATGAAACGGTCCGATCAGACAGAACAAACTTTTAAATAAGTGTATAGTGTGTAGGTCGGCTATTAAAACAGTGATTTGGCAAAACTAGCTAAATATGTCAATTGAGCCATATTGATTTCTATAAAACTAGTCTGTTTAAAATGATTTTATTTTTTGTCCAAATGTTGAAAAGTGACACTAACAGAGAAAAGCATTGAGCCTCCTAAACACATTTTTATCATTATTATTTAGAACTAAATTCAAATTATCACTTGAAAAATCCCTTTGTCTCATTTTGGAATAAATGGCCATACACTGAAGGCTAGAGCTGAGAGAGATTGTAGATCAACACAGAAATATGCTATTTGACTTTGGACAAGCATTTTAACTTTCTCCACATAGCCATACATTATAGCAGTCAGAGTTTATGAATTTCTTTGAGAAGCCTATGGTTGCCATCACCCCTTTATGTTTAATTTGAAACCTGCTTTGTGCAATCTTTTTATTTACTGATGCCTAAAATATAATTCCATTCCAATAACTACCTAGCCTAATACACATATATACACAGACCAACACATAAAGCAATATTTTTGTTGTTTTATTATGCCCAGAGGAGAGTACTTAACAAACACATTTTCCCCTCGGGATCAATAAAGTATTTCTGATTCAGATTCTGATTAACATTTTAAGCTTTGATGTTGTTATCTATGCTAATCTCTAAAAACTAAAAAGAAAGTAAGACAAATGGTCAGTTAAACCAAATTATTTTTTTCCCATTTTTATTTTGAAAAACAACCAACACAACGATAATTTCGCAATACGGAGGACTCTTATACTGGAGGTCTGTGGTCGGATATGTAACCTTAGGTTAACTTCCGGTGTATGAGTCTCGCTGGTAGCGTTGTCCCACTAGTGCTACGTATGTGTAGTTATTTGTTGAAATAAACGAATAACGATCACAATTTCTTTACTGAAATGGATATACTGAAAGCTGAGATCGCAAGGAAAAGGAAAGTTCTCGAAGAAAAGCAGCTTGTGGACGTGAGTAGACGATGATGTTGCTTGTTTTTGTTAGCTTGGTAACTTAGCCCTTCAGTCTGCAGCGTCTTTCCACAATCATCGATTTGTTGATACCGTTATTGAACTCGAATTACAGTATCGATAGTGTCCAAGACATAACAAGACTGATAGTAACATGGTTATATATAACAGGCCTATGTTAAAGTGAACAAAAATAGGTAAATTACAATAAAATACGTAACGTAGCGTCGAGGTTAGATTAGCATCATGTAGACTGAAATTCTGATATTCACTTAATAATATCCTGTTTAAACTCAAGACAAACTTTATTAATTAAAGATGAACTTTATTAATCCCACAGTGGGGAATTGCACTCGCTACAGCAGCTCCACATACAACACAACAGATAAGAAAATACACATTAAAAAATACAAGATTGAAATGAAAATAGAATAAGAGAATAGGAGTTGTATGTACATTATATACAGATACGGAATATTGCACAGGTAACAGCAGGAGGTTTTGGCATGGTGTAAAAATAAATAATTGCACAGGACAAAATATATATACAGCAGTACAAATAAGTGAGAGAAAAAAGGCTATAGACAGGGCTATGAATATACTTTACAGGTCTAATACTTGTAATGTGCACGTAGGAAATTATATAGATATATGTATGTGACACTGTACAGTACTAGTAGTGCAAAAATTGACTGTGATAAGTGTTATTATTATATCTTTTTCTTTAATGCTAATGTTAAATCAGCTGTGCTCGTCCTCCAAAACACTTGTATTCATCCCCAAAACTATATATGCCACACACAGAAGAACAACCTGTCAGTAAACTACTACTAAAATGTCTAGTGTAATGATTGGAATAAGCTGATGGATAGGTGATGCCTATCAGCGACAGCCTCATGTGGTAGTGTGTGTTTCATTATTCAGTGTAGATATGTCAACATTCAGCTCTCTTTTACTCATGTCCTTCCTTTGATTGATACCTGTAACATATACTTTGTAGTCTTTCTTTAATGGTTTCACTATTAGTTTATGACACCTGATCAATTCATGCTCATATTCAGTAAAACTTGAACTTTAAAACTGAATTTTGTGATACTGTTTTGTTGAAAAGAATTGAAATGACTGACTAGATGCTTACGTGCAGCGCAGTATGTTGTTACTTAAGGTCAGAGGAAAGGTAGTTCTATTGAATACTTTTTCTCACTATACGTATTAAAGATTTACTCACTACAATGTCATAGTAAAAGATAAGGAATATTAACTATGGTGTCTTTGTTGATTTAGCGTTACCATGTCATGCCACTCTTTTTATTGTGCTCTATTAGATTTATTATGTAAAACATGTCATTTATTTTTCGATCCAGGACACCAAAAAATACTTCAAAAGGTCTGATCTTGCGCGCAAGGAACAAGAAGATTACTTCAGAAGATGTGGATATAAGGTTGATGTCAAGATCACTCTCTCTTGCTCTCCCTCTCTCACACAAACACATCTAAATCACTGCCTTTCTTCAGTTCAGTTTTATCTCATGTTTAGTTTAATACATTAATATTGTAATTTAGCTTTTTGCCAGGAAAGAAAATGAAGGTAGGCTTTGATGCTCAGCTGTACATTAGTGTTTGTATCTGTGTTTACTGTGCTGTTTTTCCCCAACCTGCCTCTGCTGCCTGCATCTGTAGGTTCAGAAAGAGACTTCTGAGAGCCAGGTATGGGATTGCACAGTGAAAGTAGCTGACAGGATGCATGATAAAAGGACAAAACACACTGTGTCCCAAAGGCTTCAACTTCCTTGGCACCCTTTCTGAAATTTCACTCTCTGAAGCCAGTGAGGCTAAAAGCATAAACGACATGGTGGAGATATATTTGCTTTCCAGTGTGGGTTGTTAACTCGATGAGGGCTGGGTGTTTTTGGTGCAAGATAATGAGATACATTCAACATCAGTCAATTCAGTGAACTTATACTAATTTGATATTAGATTGGCCATTTCCACCAGCTCTCCTCTACTTATTGTGCTATCCCACGTAATTTGGAAAGATATGGATTTTTCTTTGATTTCATACTTTAAAAAAAAATGCTGTCAGTGTCTAGCCAATTACATACATTTACAATTTACAAATTATTTGTCATCACCTGCATTATAGGAATTTACTGAACCACCTTGTGCTTCCAGTACTCCACTACTGTTGATATTTATGCTTTTAACAATAATGTATATGTACAGCAACCACTATGAGAACTGGACTAAATGCTGGACCAGTTATGTGTTTACAAACTATTTACAAACTCAGCAACAATTTATTTGTCAGAAAGAAAGGGAACAAGGAAAGGAATCCACAAAGCCAGAGTGGGACACAGACATGGTGTGGATTTCAGCATGGGATACTGAACTGAAATAAAAAATTATTCTGTTATCAAGCTGCACTTCTCATTTTAGCAGCTTTTTGTATTTAGACCAACTATAAGTTTTCCTTGGTTTTGTGTCAGTAGTTTGCATTGCCTTGAAACAGTTGCTCCATAGAAAACTGCATTTATGTTCTACTTTGTGCAAGGCTTAAAATTTAAAACCTATTGAGCTATGCTCTTTGCACACATGCAGTATACTTTGTTTATTTGAGCAAGAGCCATTGTTTGTTTGGAAGGCTTTTTTGTAATCAGTTTCTGTTTGTTCTTTTAGATTGTGCTCCTTAACTCACAATCTAAGAGTACCGAGATGCATGTGCCAATAAAAGCATGATCTGATTCCTTTTGTTGCAAAGACAATGTTTTGCCTGTGATTAGGCTTTAGGTGATGGAACCACCATTCAAATTCCACTAAATGAAAGTTATGAGATTAATGTAATATTCAGTATGCTTGCTTTATTTGGATAGTTATCTTTATTTGTCTTTATTGAAGAGCTGCAGGTAAGATAGGGATGTGAATGTGTGCAGTCCAGTTTATGATAGTGACACATGTCTTCTTTAATCCCGAGGTCTCATCTCATGAAGTCATTGCAGATGCTCTTTACATTCTGGACTTTCATATTACCTTTACATCCCTCCAATAACATCAATACATTTCTTCCCCCACATTTCCCTGAAGATTGATAAAAAGGAAGAAGATGAGCCATCCACCTCAGCTAATCCAGTGTTAGAACTGGAACTAACAGAAGAGAAGCTGCCAATGACACTTTCGCGACAGGAAGTGAGTCTAGATAACATATTAACACTTCCCTCACAGTATGTTTTCTTTCTTTACTACAAGTTAAACGTGTCTTTTGCATCACTGTGTTTGTGTAGGTAATTCGGCGGCTTAGAGAACGAGGGGAACCAATCCGACTGTTTGGAGAGTCTGACTACGATGCCTTCCAGAGACTGAGGAAGATTGAGATTCTGACCCCCGAAGTGAACAAGGTAGGACTGAGTGTATCTTGGTGTGGGACATACCATTCAGTAAAGATATGCTCATTCAGGTCCATCCTATCTAGGAAAAAATATCACACCGCAACCTAGACAAATATGTGAAGATTCAAATTGGATTTGGTAAGATTCAAAATTAATCATAATACTATAATTAAACAGCAGAGGGCACTCTATCTACTTTTGACTATGCTTGTTCGTAGCTTTAGCAAGCCAAAGCAGTGTGCGAACTA